CCAAACAACAAATCTATAACTTGTCTTTTTCAATGTCCACATTATTTTCTGGAAGGAACACAAGTTTTTTGTCTATCCCTAGCAAGTAAGAGTGCATTACATAGTGCATTGCAGCTAGTGATGAGTAGGACTTGCTTGGCATTTGGGCCTGACTTGCTAGTGTTATGTATGTGACTTGCTTGACATTTGGAAAACCTTGTGTTCCTCTTAAACTATGTGTTTGTGTGTGATATCAAGCCTATTTCTTTTAACGAAACCTGAGTTCCTCTTTATTGCCTTTTGCAAAGAAGCAAGCATGATCACTTCTTTCTCTTTAGGAATTTCCTTTTTTGTACAGGTAACTACATCATCTCGGCCAACCGTGTTCAGATTTTCTTTTCGTTTTCTCAAGCATGTTTTCGAATTTTCTATACAGTTTTTAATAACCAGTATGTATGTATTTGCATGTATTTTTGCATGTTTTACAGCGGAGATAGCATGATATAAAGCATAGGAGACTCGAGGGTTCCTCGGGGTGCAGGATCACCTGCACAGGTATATAACTTTTCTCCTGGGTAACTTTTTCTGTTTTTATCAGTTTTGTATGCAGGCTAGAAGATATACGCATGCAATTTCTGGGAGTGTTTCCTGTATTTATTCTCCTCCTTTTGTTGTTTTAGGTACTGGTGGTTTTCCGGGGGTATTTTTGTCAAGTAGCAACCATGATCTGCACACATTCACACACTTTAATTTCTACATCACCACTTAGTTGCCCGCAAAACCCACTTAGTTGCCTCCTGCATCACCACAAGTTGCCTAAAAACACAGGGGGAGAGGCGAATGTCTGCAGGTTAACTTATCGCCAATTTTTGCCTAGATGGGATCACAATTATGGTTTTAGGGTAAACAGGAACACATAGCCACAAGTTGCTTGCAGACATTCATATACTTGCCCGCAACTCTTGCGATAAGTTGCCTTTGTTAACAAATATGCTCCAAGGAACAGAAACACGGACCCATGAGTTGCCTATAGACGTTCACACACTTGCTTCTACCAAATGTGACAATTTGCCTAGCAAGAGACACAAATCCCGCTTCAGTCCATTGTTTTATGGAAGAAAAAGCTCCTTCTTGAGTTGCCTATTCATTTACGACAAGTTGCCTAAGTCGCATCAATGTTCTGTAGGCCAGAGGAGGAAGAACTAACCCGTCGGCTGGAGAAGATGGGGCATAGGTGGTTGCTGCGGGAGTGGTGACGCTGCTTCTGGTGGATTTAGGCCATGTAGGAACTTCGAAGAGTTAGATCCATGGAGAAGAAAAGGGGAAGGAAGAAGGAGGGGGGCGGGAGGTAGGGAGAGAGTTCGCGTGGGACGCATGCTGGACAGGTGTGCGGGAGCGGTTACGATCACGGGAGATTCGCTGTTGTCCATGTGCAGGAACAATTACGTCCCTTTCCTTTTCTGTCACGCCAGTTGTCCAGGGGGTTTTCACTTTCCTTTTTTGGGTGTGTGCCCTACAATATTAACTAGCCAACAGGTGCTCTCTAGTCACGTCCATTAATCAAAGCATGTAATTCATCCATCGCTCCATTGCCACATATGATGTAGGTGCTATCAATCTCCAAAGTGCGCCTCTACTTGTTCTTCTTAGGTGCCAAAGTACCGGTAGTAGCTCTCCACCCAAAGACCCTGGTTTCTGGGGGAACTTTTGCTTTCCAAATGAGATCCCAAATACTTCGATTGTCTGCTTCACTGGTTGATCTCGGTGCGTGAGGGTTATCTAGGGTCTGGAGTTGAGCTGCCAATCTATAAGCGCACCTAACAGAAAACTTTCCAAATTTTTTTGTAATGCCTTGCAATACAGTCCTCAATCTCCACCGGGGGGATTTTTATTTTACAAATGGCTTCCGCGTCAAAAGGGTAAAACAGTTGATGAATTATAGTGATACGTTCCACTCCCTCTTCCCCGGTAACATCAGCTGGTTAGCCCATCTCAATCTAGTTTTACTGATAAAGTTTGTCATCTTTAAACCCTGCTTTCTAGGAACCCATTGATCTCTTCGGATCTGGATGCTCCTTCCATTACCCACTCTCCGGATGAGTCCTTTATTTAAGAGTTCAAGCCCAAACTCAATGCCACGCAAAACAGGTGACGCATCCACAAAAAACTGTGTCGAGGAGCTCCCCATTTGGATAGTATTTCGATGCCAGCACCCTTGCACAAAGACTATCCGGTCTCTGAATCAATTGCCATCCTTGTTTGACTAGGAGGGACTGGTTAAACAACTTCATATCTCGGAAACCAATGCCTCCTCCTCTCTTAGGTTTGACCATTTGATCCCATGCCATCCAATGAACTTTCCAATGTCCCTCTTCGCCCCCCGCCAGAAGTCCCTTATTAGTTTCTCATGCCTCTCATTGAAATTTTGTGTCATCTAAAAAATCCCATGACATACAAGTGGATGGCCTGAATCACGGATTTCACATAAACTTCTTTGGTTGCATATGACATGTACCTCTCAGACCAATATGTACATCTCTTAGTGAATCTTTCCATGATTGGTTGGAACTGATTATCTTGCATGCATCCTTCGGGGGTGGGCAGACCAAGATACTTGCAAGTAGATGCATCCAAAGTCTTTGCCTTTTTTCTTCTCTCTTGGATCAAGAAACAAGTTGAGCGTTTCTGATTCACAAGATTTCAAAATGCCAGTATAGAAAAGGAAATACAAGATTATGGTGCCATGTTCATTCAAAACCTATGGAATTTTGTTTGCCCAAATTTTATCTAATTATATTGTAGAAAAAAAAGATGATGCTAGTCTAGAGATTCAAGCGGATGAAAATTTCGTATGAATATTGTGAAAGGAAATACTTTGAAAATTTCATATAGGATAAAGCCGTACAAATCAAAAAACGAACAATCTACATAATTTTTTCTAATATTCTAATAATGCAATTGTCTATAGAAATTATTCGAATAAATGAAGATGTCATATAATTCTACGTTTTGCATGTGCAACATCCAATCCTAATCCTAATTATTGTAGAAACATGACATGGCTTTTCACATTTATTCAATTTGAATGTTTCTAGAATCACGCGTTCCAAAGGGCCCTTAGAGCATCTCCAACCGGACTGGGCTAATTTGACTCCTTATACATGGACACATTCAGACGTTGTTCGAACGTGTCCGTTTTAAGCCCTCATTTGTCTATGCACTTAGTCGTGAC